TTTACAAATCTTACGAAATTTTATTGAGCGGTTTAATGGAGTTTTCAAAAGCAGATTTCGGGCTTTGCTGAGACATCGTGGTTCACTATCACCCACTCAAAGCTGCGAAAATCATTTATAGTTGTGCTATTTTGCATAATGTTGCTATTTATTTTAATAACAACAATTTCCCGGAAGATGAAGTAGTTGAAGATCTTCAAACAGGCATTAAATTAAATACCACCAATAATTGGTTCAGTGAAGGACAAATGACCCGAAATAGAGTTGTCAATAGTTTTTGAAGTATTTATTTTGTTTAATTGCTATTGTTTTTCCTTTCTATGGGTAATGACAAGCCTTGTACGGCGAGAGTTAATTGGGAAATTGACTGCCAGCATTTGTGTAGCCAGAAGTTGGTTCTCCATACTACGTCTTCGAAAGTTGCACATTGCACTCAAATTTTTCAGTTTAATTTTCAATGGCGGATGAGGTTATATTGAAGAGTTTTACGACCCCGTAGTTAAAGCGTATCAAGAGAGACCATCAAAATTCAACACTCTGATGGGAGATTTCAATGCGAAACTGGGACAACGATACGAAGGTCACGAAGCTGCCTTGGGACTGCATGGCTTCGGCGAGAGAAATTAAAGATACACAATGCACTTGGAATTTCTGTCACAGCATAACATGTATGCAATGAACTCCTTTTTCAAGATGCCCCCCAAAGAAAATGGACATGGATGAGCCCTCCGGTGCAATCAGAAACGGGATTGACTACATAATTACGGACAGAAGAGTATCATCAGGGACGTTTCTGTCCTCAACAGCTTTTCAGTGGGAAGTGACCACAGGCTAGTAAGAGCCAAGGTGTGCATAAACATAAAGAATGAGCGGCGCAAAATTATGTCCAAAACTACTAACACAAACAGGAACAGATTAGGAGAGAGTTGCTGGATAGAGACATAACAGGCGAATACGATATAAATAGAATGAACGAAAATTTACACGATTTGACACGATCTCGCCAAAGCTTTTCACGACCCTTCTGGAGTCCGTGTGTAGACGGACCAACTGGGACTCGTCGGGTATCAATGTTGATGGAGAGCGATCGAGTCACTTACGATTTGCATACGTTATAGTCTCAATTACCGACAGAATAAACGATGCGTGTAAAATGCTGGAGGAACTTAATAACGTTTCACGTCTGGTGGGATTGGAAATGAACTTGTCTAAAACCTTGTAATGAGCAATGACCAACCTTGTAATGAGCAATTGCATTATGCTGAACGATACCCCAATAGAACAGGTATCCTCTTATCAATACCCGGGTCATAAAATGAAAGTAAATAGAGACAACCAAACACACGAACTTAACAGGAGAATTGGTTTGACTTGGGCTGCTTATGGAAGACTGAAACATGTTTTTACATCCAAGATACCCGTATGCCTGAAACGGAAGGTTTTTGGCCAGTGTGTTCTCCCGGTCCTGACCTACGGTGCTCAGGCACTGACGCTCACAAAACAGTATCGAAATAAAATCAAAATAGCACAAAGGWAGATGGAGAGAGCGATGTTAGGAGTGTCATTGAGGGACCGGATCGCGAACAATAWAAAAAGACAACGTTTGGCGTGACCGACGCCGTGACGACGATAAACGACTTAAAGTGGGTGAACTGGGCCGGCCACGTGGCAAGAATGTCCGATGGGCGGTGGACAAGGAGGATTGTTTAGTGGAGACCAAGACAGGAAGCGTACCGGAATGGAGGGAGGCCGCCAGCTAGGTGGACGGACGACTTGAAGCCAGTGGAGACAAATTGAATGCAGGCGGCCAAGGACGGAATAAATTGGGCAATGTTGCGGGAGGCTTACGTTCAGCAGTGGACAGGATAAGGGCTGGATGATGATGATGATGATGATGATGATTAACATACTAAGAAAGAATGGAAGGAACCATTTCATTGATTTATTGGAATACATTTTTTCTTAGCGTGACACGAACTTATTTTAAACTAACTACACATTTTGTGTAACAAAAATAAAATGTTTTCCTAAATAGYTTAACTAAATTTCTTTAGCGTCCACAGACTTGTTAAACACATTTCACTCCGACACATTTGTGTTTGCTCCATGTGCCTGTGAAGGTCTGTGAGTGACTTCGTATCTTCCTTTTGTTGATCGCTTGTGCCTGTTTCCTGTCTATCCGTCAGTAGCGTGATGTTCATGTCTTTTCTCGTGTTGGCWATTTGTRTCGTATTGTACCGTGGATGGCCGAGTATCAAACTCTTTCTTCTGCTTCCAACTTTTATTCCACTCGGTATAACTTTAACTACGGAAYAGGAACAAACTAACTTCTAAATTAACGTCAACTTCACAAACAATAATAATTCTGCACCCGGTCGCTCTTGTCACTTCACTTCCTCCCCATGGTTCTCGTCGTCGCTTATATAGATTACTTCAGGTAACCCAGATGCTTCTCGAAATCTCCAGAACAGGTGCGAAACTTCCCGCTTGTCAGTGTCATATTTGACAGCAAATGGGGCTCCCATTTACTGAAATACCATAAATTTCGATCCCCCATTCCAAACGTGAGTACCCCAGGCCATTTCCGTTACAGTATTTATAGCAGCGTATGTCTCAGCTGTGTGTATTTTGGTGTTGTCTGTCAATTGCTGACCGGCCTGACGTCTATGTGTATGCGTTTTCCGCTACGTTGTTGTATGTGTGTGGCTGTTGTTTGCAAGTGTGCCATGTTCGGGCGTGTCTTTGTGTTTTATTGTATGTTTTTTCCCGTCGTCCGTCCTAGTCCTATTAATGTTGTCTTGTTGTTGCCTCAATTCACCAGAGCGGTGTGCCTGCTAGCACCTGTAATTTTGCGGCATCTAGTTGTTGTCTTTGTCTCGTTAGCTTTATGAACCCATATATCGGAGCCATAAAGTATTGCAAGGTTCACGACCCTCTGGAGTATTTTGATTAAAGTCGTTTGGTGGTTCGTCTTCCAAAGTCCATATTTTAAGTCCAAGTTTCACCG